ACTACTATTGAGCAAGGTACCACTTATACTGTACCTGTGCATTTCGTTTTTGTTGCCTAAATGTAGAACCTTATTCTTACTAACCCAGGGGTCAGCAAACCTAAACACTCAAAGAGCCATTTGGACCCGTTTCCCACTGAAAAGGAAACACCGGGAGCCACAAAGGTCCTAACCGGAAGCCCCCAGTTCAATTCTGGAGCTGACTGGAAGTTCAGTTCCCCCATCATAGAGTCTCCTCCTAGCGCGGCATCCTTTTTCCTCTACCTGTCATAACCGAAAGCCCTATCAATTGTGGAGACGACTGGAAAACCCTCCCCCCCTTGCCATAGAGTCTTCTCCTGGCACACTGAGCTTCTATCCCCCCTCCCCCACCGGAAGCTCCTCTCGACATTGTGGCGCCGACCCGTGAGGGAGCCACAGCAGAGGGAGGAAAGACCCACATGCGGCTCCAGAGCCTACTAACCCTATCAACTCAGAAGGAAAGAAGGAAGGAAGGGGGACAAGAACGAAAGCCGGGTATTCCGACAGCCTCCTCTCTTCCTGTTTTGTCTTGGTTGTAAATCTCTTTATGACGCAGAGTGCAGCTGGGTAATTTTAAACCCTGGATTTTATACTCTTGACAAGGCCCCTAAGGGTGACCCTGCATCGCTTTGTTAAGAATATTTCTACTGAGAGGAATAAAATGAGCATCTGTAATTACGTACATTTCCAGCTGGCTGCCCTCTGACTATATTAGATATGTAAAGAAGAGGAAAGAGAGAGAGAGAGGGAGGGAGGGAGGGAGGGAGGGAGAGAGAGAGAGAGAAAGAAAGAGAGAAGGCTGTGGTGAGCAGAGCCAGTCCCAGTTGGCCCTGTCTTGTCCTCTTCTGTCACATATTGACGTCAGGCCTGTTTGCGGCTGCACCTGTCGTCTACCACTCTGACCGGGTTCAGGCAACCTGTGAAACCCGAAACCTGGGTTAACCAAACACAGTTGCTATGTTCACATTACATGCAATAGGCCAGGGATGGGAAACCTTTTCAGCACCAAGTGCCCAAAGTGGAACACGCCTGCATGCACATGCATGTGCGCATACTGGGACACTGGAAAAACCAAAGGCCATCTGGCCAGGGCTCATTGCCAGATTTTGGGCTGTTTTTGGGGCTGTTCTCAGGCCATTTTCCGTTGCTCCAGCACCCACAAAGAGTAGCTGTCAATGGCCCACCTCTTCATGCCACCTCTGGCACGCATTGCATAGGTTCACCATCACGGCAACAGGCCCTTCTCTCCCCAAATAAATGGATTCATGTGTGCAGCATTGCGCAAACCAAACTCTAGGTGCTCTTTCGTATTTTTTTGGGGGGGGGGGTGTCTTTCTTTACTGCAGGGCTGCCAGGTGGGAACAACCAGATCCACACGCATGTAGAGTATAAATTAATTACAGGTAGTCCTCAACTTACAAACACAATTGAGTTCTGCCCCATTCCACGACTTTTCTGGCCATCGAGGTTCAGTGAATCACAGCATCATGGTTCAGTTAGTAACATGTTGTAAAAGGAATCTGGCTTCCCCATTGACTTTGCTTGTGAGAAAGGCCGCCAAAGGTGATCACGTGACCCCGGGACACTGCACAGCCGTCATAAATACGTGCCACTTCCTAAGCATCCAAATTTTGATCAAGTGACCACGGGGATGCTGCAAGAATCGTGAAAAATGATCCTAAACAATTTTTCAGTGCCTTTGTAATTTTGAATGGTCACTAAACGAATGGTTGTAAGTCGAGGAACTACCTGTACTTTATTTCTCTATGCCTATTTCACAGCAATCTTCTCAGACGGGCAGTTTGCCCCCGGGGGAAAAAACACTAGATAAAGTTCAAAGGTATTCAAGGGGTGTTGGACCTTGCCCTTTTGTGACTGACTATCGATTCCAGACTAATTCCCTACTTGACTCCTTCTCCCAAGTGGGACGATCTCTCTCTGAAGGGCCCTTCTCCTTGGCCTACTGTCTGGTCCTACCTGCCTTGTTGGGGACAATTTACTGTATTTTTCAGAGTATAATATGCACCTTCCCCCCCCACCCCAAGAGGGTGAAAATCTGGGTGCTTCTTATACATTGAATACAGCATTTTTGGCCTCCTGAAACCCTGCCCCCTTTGCAAAAATGGATGTGTAGAGGGTTTGGGATGCCTGCAAAGTGCTCCTGGGGGCTGGGGAGGGCAAAAATGAACCAAAAACAGGCCGTTTTTTTGCTCGTTTTTGCCCCTCCAGCCCCCAGGAGCACTCTACAAGCCTCCCAAAGCCTGTGCATGCCCCCCCTTTTTTTTGCAAAAAACAAGCCAATTTTTGTGAAAAACCGCCCATTTGTTCCTCGTTTTTGCCCCCCAACTCCCATGAGCACTTTGCAGGCCCCTCAATCTCTCTGCATGCCCCGTTTTTCATAAAAATTGAGGCGTAAAGAGGGTTTGGGAGGCCTGCAGAGTAGAAAAACTTCTTTTTTTTAAAAAAAATTACCTCTTCAAAATCTTGGTGCGTCTTATACTCCGGTGCGTCTTACCATTAAAATCCGTAAAATTGTGATTTGAAGTACATTTGCAAAGACCAGGCATTACAGATAACCGGTATCTATAACGCCTTTATATTTATGATCTGTTATAAATAAACATGTGCCTGGTCCAAATTATGATTCTTTCGCCCCATCTTCAGCTTGTCTATAAATAAGGTAATTAGCTGATATTGTCTCCTTATTAACGAAGAAATGGCCTCCACTCAACTTTGCAGGGCTGAAACACAAGCTCAAATTTGGGAACTCCACTGCAGGTATTCCTCGGCGTAGAGCCACAATTGAGCCCAGAATTTATGTTGCTAAGTGAGAAATCTGTTAAGTGAATTTTGCCCCCTTTTACAACCATTCCTGCCCCATTTGTTAAGTGAATCCCTGCAGCTGTTACATTAGTAACACGGTTGTTAAACGAATCTGTCTTCCCCGTTGATTTTGCTTGTCGGAGGATCGCAAAATACGATCACATTGTCCGGGGACGCTGCCAGAGTCACAACTGTGAACTGGACGTAAAACACGTGACCACGGGGATGCTGCAACGGTCATAACTGTGAAAAATGGTCATAAATTACTTTTTTTCCAGTGCCGTTGTAGCTTCAAATGGTCACTAAACAGTTGTAAGTCGAGGAGTACCTGCCCGGTAGAACGTTACGGTTAGTACTGTGAAGAGCTGCAAATAGGGGGGAAAAGCACTAAATTCATTCTCTCTCCCTACTCATAGCTCTAATTAGCAGTGAAGCAAAACAGCCCTCCTGGCTCAGTGTTTATGCTTATGTATCCGTTGATTGATTTCCCTTTTGTGACCTGTTTATTTAACTCGTGGGATTTGGCAGCTGAAATGTGGATGACCTATATCTCCGTTATCTTTCTACCTCCCTTCAGGCACAAAAGTCTCAAACCGAGGCTCGCAGTTCAGCAGGGGCCGGTGCCTCCCGCCGGCCAGCAACCCCAGCCAGCGACCAAGCACAAGGCCAACGAGAAGCAAGAGAAAGGAGACAAACCCCAAAAACGTCCCTTAACCCCGTTTCACCATCGAGTGTCCATCAGCGACAAGGTTATCCTGGAGGCCGACTCCGCCAATCAGCGGCTGGTAATCCCCACCACCGACAGCCAAGTGAGGTTTTCAAACCTCAGAACTAACGAGGTCGCAAAGACACCTCAGATGCACCCCGCGGAAATTGCCAGTTCCCCGCAGCCACCGCCCCTCAGTCCCCACCCATGCGACGCGGCGGAGGAGGGGGCAACCAAAACGCCTTCCACGCCCCAGAGCCAACATTTCTATCAAATGTCGACTCCCGATCCTTTGGTTCCTTCAAAAGCCATGGAAGATAGGATAGAAGGGTTATCCCAGAATTTCCCAGCTACGTTTCCCGATGTCGTAGAGCCCACCATGTACGTCGGCGCCGCAGTGAACTTGGAGGAAGAAGACGCAGATTCCATGTGGAAGTATTACAAGGTTCCAAAGAAAAAAGATGTGGATTTTTTGCCGCCGCCTTTGCCGAGTGAAAAATTTCGGGACGAGCCCATGGGATCTGCCGCATCGGACAATGTACCTTCAGCTACAGAGTAAGCGCACCTGAAGTTTGAGCTCGGAGTCCATATCCGTGATTTTTTCAAAACTTTTGCATGTCTAATTGATTCGCACAATGGTGTGTGCGAGTGTGTGTGTGTGTGTGTGTGTGTGTGTGTGAGTGAGTGTGTGCGCGTGCACTGGCTTGGCCTGCACTAATTTTAGAAATATTAACAATGGTACAGGCAGACCTTCACTTAACAATCTTAATTGAGCTTGCAATTTTGGATGTCAGTTGTGGTCATTAAGCAGGTCATGACATGACTGAGCCTTATTTTATGCGTAGCACGACAAAACCGCGCTCGACTAAGCCGCGCCCGATTAAACCGCGTCGCTGACGTCATCAACAGGGCGACAACAGCGAGCGCAGAGAAAGAAGGGCGCTTTAAATAGNGATGCTTAGAGTGCACGTGAGGACCGGTAATATCTAGTAAAGCTGCTACAGTGAAGTGTAATACATTCAACATATATGCTTTGTGTTGTAAAAGAACAACAAAGATGATTAGGGAGGCTAAAACATATAAAGCGGCGGGCTCCCAATCTTTTGGGCACCAGGAACTGGTTCGGTGGAGAAAGATCTTTCCGTGGACTGGAGGGAGCGTGGTGTCGCAGGCTGCCTGGATCCTGCAGATGGGACTTCGCTTGTTTGCGTGGCCCTGTTTCTGGCATGCCACGGACTGGTGCTGATCCACAGACCGGGGTTTGGGGACTCTTGATATAAAGAATGGTTGCGGGAATTGGGTATTGTCTAGTTTAATAAAAAGAAGGACTAGGGGTGACATGATAGCAAACTTCCAGTACTTGAGGGAAGTACAGAGAAGAGGGGGGGTCAACCTATTTTCCAAAGCACCTGAGGAAAAGAAGCAATGGATGGAAACTAGATCAAGGAGAGAAGCAACCTAGGACTAAGAAGAAATTTCCAGGCAGTTAACACAATTAAACAGTGGAGCAATTGCCTCCAGAAGTTGTGAATGCTACAACACTGGACGTTTTTAAGAAGAGATTGGATAACCATTTGTCTGAAATGGTATAGGGCTTCCTACTTGAGCAGGGGGTTGGACTAGAAGACCTCCAAGTCCCTTCCAACTCTGTTGTTCTGTTCTGTTCTGTTCTAATTTTATTAAGATACAGGTAGTCCTGGACTTACAACGGTTCATTTAAGGATCATTCAAAGGTATAACAGCACTGACAAAAGTGACTTTTGATCATTTTTCATCCCCTGAGTCACATGATAAAAAATTCAAGAGCTTGGCTCAGTGGAACAATTTGCCTCCAGAAGTAGTGAATGCTCCAACACTGGAAGTTTTTAAGACGAGATTGGACAACCACTTGTCTGAAGTGGTGTAAGGTTTCCTGCCAAAGCAGGGGGTTGGACTAGAAGACCTCCGAGGTCCCTCTATTCTATTCTATTGGCAACCGACTCATATTTATGACGGCTGCAGTGTCCTGTGATCATGTAATAACCTATTGTGACCTTCGGACTTGCAAAGTCAGTGGGGAAGCCAGTTTCACTTAGCAACCCATAGCAACAGCACTTAGATATACTGCTTTATAGTGCTTTACAGCCCTCTCTAAGCGGTTTACAAAGTCAGCATATTGCCCCCAACAGTTTTGGGGTCCTCATTTTACTCACTTCGGAAGGATGGAAGGCTGAGGCAACCTTGAGCCTGGTGAGATTCGAACTGCCAAATTGCAGGCAGCCATCAGTCATCAGAAAGTAGCCTGCGGTACTGCAACTCTAATCAGTGCACCAGTGTGGATCATGCCACTAACTGAACAACTGCAGTGATTCACTTAACAACTGTGGCAAGATAGTTTGTAAAATGGGGCAAGACTCACTTAACAAATGTCTTGCTTAGCAAAACAGAAAAGGTTGGGCCCAGTTGGGATCGTAAGTCGAGAACTACCTGTAAACCCAATCAAGTTATTTTTTCCTTGTGGATGCTTTTGTGTACTTATTGTCAACGAAGGACTAAGTTTTTGATGCGGGTGGGGTGGGGTGCGTACTTCATAAAACTTTGAGGCTTCTGCTTAAGCTTGCATTCACGCAATGTCCTAAAATGCTGTGCTTTGACTTGCTTTCTAAATGCATAAATCGCTATGTCTCACTGACCAGAGCTGTATAGATTTTCCTTTCTGGTTTAGCGGATTACACGGGGTAGATACAATATAATAATGAGCTGTCTTCTGCTCTGGCTTCCTTTTTCAGTTGATGCTCGTTCAGCTCAGAAGTGGGTCAAGCTGTCTTCAGTTTCTGATGTGTTCAGTTGTGACAGCACTAATCACCACGGGGGGAGGATCCCTCGAAAGCTGGCCAATCAGGTGGTTGACAGAGTTTGGCAAGAATGCAATATGAACAGAGCACTGACCAAGTAGGTGGTTTTATTTTATTTTTGACATTTTAAAATGACATGTCAAAATGTAGCTCAGTGGATCCATGTGGGATAGGAAGAAAATACCGCCGGCTTCTTTCTGCATTGTAGGTACGGATCTAAATTGAAATAATACCCACCAGCTTCCAAAAAGTTAGGAAACTCACATGGATTATCTAAAGCTTAATAATTGATTTGCTAGCTCAGGATTATTCCGCTATTCTTTTTCTAAGTTTGATCAGCCAAGTGCTTTGGGGAGCCTGACTGTAAGTCACGGAGATGCTAAAGTTCTTTGATAATTAAAACAGTGACACGGAAATTCCCAGTAAATACCTTGTGATATTAAGAGGCTAATAAATATCCATAATAATTATTGAATTAAATTTCCATGCTGCCAAATCATTCTGGCTCCTAGTGGATTATGACATTACATACAATGAAGAAAGATAATTACTATCAAACATTTGAAGTAAGCAAATACACTTATCCCACAAAAGACTATAAACCCAAAATTAGTTTTCAGGTGAAAACCAACAATACCATCTAGGACAGAATAATTGTAACCATAATGACATCCCAAAAGCTCTTCCTTAGCTTCTGGACGGCTGTTAACATGAAAGCCAGTCTGATTTCTAGAGGAAGGCCAACCCAAATCTTAGATGTCATAATAATAACAATAATAATAGCATGCCTTCCTCATTCCCCCCAAATGGGACACCGCTTTTCTCCCAGAATGATGTCCTTAGCTTAAGATAAAGATAAAGGTTCTGCTCACACATATGCACCCCTAGAGTTGTTTCCAACTCTAGGGGCAGTGCTCATCCCCGTTTCAAAGCCGAAGAGCCAGCGCTGTCCAAAGACGTCTCCGTGGTCATGTGGCCAACATGACTAAATGCCAAAGGTAACACTGTTACCTTCCCACCAAAGGGGGTTCCTACTTTTTCTACTTGCATTTTTGAATGCTTTCCAACAATTGTGGTTGGCAGAAGCTGGGACAAGTAACGGGAGCTCACTCCATTACGCAGCGCAGGGATTCAAACCACCGAACTGCCAACTTTTCTGATCAACCACTGAGCCACCACATCCCTAAGTCCCCGCATCCTTAGCTTAGACAGGACCATATTCTTTGCGGTCCTTTGGTGCTTTCTGAGCTTGGTTGGCCAGTATAATTAACAATCGGAAAATAACACCAGGATTAACACCAAACCAACAATCAAGCAGTAAACAATATCCCAATCAACGAACAACCAACTAAGACAAGCAATCAAACAAACATTAAACAACAGCCTAATCAAAGAACCACCTAAGGGCACTCCCACCAACACTGACAGGGCAAGCAAGAGAGCAAACCCCAGTCCCTCTTCTATTGCTGATGATGTAGCCTAGTTTGGTAATGAAACATCTTCAAGAAAACAACCAAAGCTCAGAGAGCACCAAGGACCCCACAGTTTACCCCTGGACTACAAATATCCTCTTCCATCGACTGTCACAAGCATCACAAGCTAACTACAAAGTGCTTGTTTGCAATTATTTAATTTGATTATACATTGTGACTATTCCGAGGAATTGAAGTCTTACAATACTTTTGTTACTATTTACTTATATAATTTAATTATATAATTTAATTA